GGGGCCGGTTCTGCTCCTGACACCGCAGGGCTTCGGCCTGGTAAGAGCTCGGGTCACTGCGCTCCGGGGCCGGTTCTGCTCTTGACACCACAGGGCTTCGGCCTGGTAAGGGCTCGGGTCACTGCGCTCCGGGGCCGGTTCTGCTCCTGACCCCGCAGGGCTTCGGCCTGGTAAGAGCTCGGGTCACTGCGCTCCGGGGCCGGTTCTGCTCCTGACACCGCAGGGCTTCGGCCTGGTATGAGCTCGGGTCACTGCGCTCCGGGGCCAGTTCTTCTCCTGACACCGCAGGGCTTCGGCCTGGTATGAGCTCGGGTCACTGCGCTCCGGGGCCGGTTCTGCTCCTGACACCGCAGGGCTTCGGCCTGGTATGAGCTCGGGTCACTGCGCTCCGGGGCCGGTTCTGCTCCTGACACCGCAGGGCTTCGGCCTGGTATGAGCTCGGGTCACTGCGCTCCGGGGCCGGTTCTGCTCCTGACACCGCAGGGCTTCGGCCTGGTATGAGCTCGGGTCACTGCACTCCGGGGCCGGTTCTGCTCCTGACACCGCAGGGCTTCGGCCTGGTATGAGCTCGGGTCACTGCGCTCCGGGGCCGGTTCTGCTCCTGACACCACAGGGCTTCGGCCTGGTATGAGCTCGGGTCACTGCACTCCGGGGCCGGTTCTGCTCCTGACACCGCAGGGCTTCGGCCTGGTATGAGCTCGGGTCACTGCGCTCCGGGGCCGGTTCTGCTCCTGACACCACAGGGCTTCGGCCTGGTATGAGCTCGGGTCACTGCGCTCCGGGGCCGGTTCTGCTCCTGACACCGCAGGGCTTCGGCCTGGTATGAGCTCGGGTCACTGCGCTCCGGGGCCGGTTCTGCTCCTGACACCGCAGGGCTTCGGCCTGGTATGAGCTCGGGTCACTGCGCTCTGGGGCCGGTTCTCCTCCTGACACCGCAGGGCTTCGGCCTGGTATGAGCTCGGGTCACTGCGCTCCGGGGCCGGTTCTGCTCCTGACACCGCAGGGCTTCGGCCTGGTAAGAGCTCGGGTCACTGCGCTCCGGGGCCGGTTCTGCTCCTGACCCCGCAGGGCTTCGGCCTGGTATGAGCTCGGGTCACTGCGCTCCGGGGCCGGTTCTGCTCCTGACACCGCAGGGCTTCGGCCTGGTATGAGCTCGGGTCACTGCGCTCCGGGGCCGGTTCTGCTCCTGACACCGCAGGGCTTCGGCCTGGTAAGAGCTCGGGTCACTGCGCTCCGGGGCCGGTTCTGCTCCTGACACCGCAGGGCTTCGGCCTGGTATGAGCTCGGGTCACTGCGCTCCGGGGCCGGTTCTGCTCCTGACACCGCAGGGCTTCGGCCTGGTATGAGCTCGGGTCACTGCGCTCCGGGGCCGGTTCTGCTCCTGACACCGCAGGGCTTCGGCCTGGTATGAGCTCGGGTCACTGCGCTCCGGGGCCGGTTCTGCTCCTGACACCGCAGGGCTTCGGCCTGGTATGAGCTCGGGTCACTGCGCTCCGGGGCCGGTTCTGCTCCTGACACCGCAGGGCTTCGGCCTGGTATGAGCTCGGGTCACTGCGCTCCGGGGCCGGTTCTGCTCCTGACACCGCAGGGCTTCGGCCTGGTATGAGCTCGGGTCACTGCGCTCCGGGGCCGGTTCTGCTCCTGACACCGCAGGGCTTCGGCCTGGTATGAGCTCGGGTCACTGCGCTCCGGGGCCGGTTCTGCTCCTGACACCGCAGGGCTTCGGCCTGGTAAGAGCTCGGGTCACTGCGCTTCAGGTGCTGGAAGAACTTTATAGCTCTTTTTTGGATAGTGATCAATAAGGGGTATTGTCCTAATTCAGCTCTGCACGAGTTGTTTGGTGTCGCTCTGTTTACTTTTAGGATGCTTTTACAAATTTGGGTATGCAGAGTTTCAATTTCCTCTTTTTCCCATTTTGAGAAATCTTGGGTTTTTAGAGGTCCCCATACCTCACTGCCGTACAGAGCAATCGGTTCGATTATTGCTTTTAGGATTTTTAGCCAGGTTTGAATTGGAATTTCATGTCGAATAGTATTTTTAATCATGTAGAAGACCCTCATCGCTTTCGCCTTCAGTTCAGTCACAGCCAGATTAAAGTTCCCTGTCGAACTCAGTTTTAGCCCCAGATATGTGTATTCGTGGGTGTGTTGGAGGACTTGGTTTCCTGCTCTGAAGATGTATTTATTTTCCCTACACCTGGATCTATTTTGAAAAATCATTATTTTAGTTTTTGCGAGGTTAATTTTGAGAGCCCACGTTTGGCTGAATGTCTCTACGACGTCGAGGAGCTGCTGTAGTCCCTCTTTTGTTTTTGACAGAAGGACTAAATCATCTGCAAAGAGGAGACATTTAACTTCTGATTCAGTCAGGGTTGGGCCGGGGGCCGTGGAGTTATTTAAGGCTTTGGCTAGTTCGTTTATATAAATGTTAAATAGAGTGGGGCTCAATGGGCAACCTTGTCTGACTCCTCGTTGTTGGGAGAAAAATTCTGTTCGCTTATTCCCTATTTTTACAGCACATGTATTGTTTTTATACATGGTGCTTATCAAATCAAATGTTTTCCCTCCAATCCCATTTTCCAGTAGTTTTAGGAAGAGTCCTTCGTGCCAGATCGAATCGAAAGCCTTCTCAAAGTCAACCTCTCTCTCTCTCTCTCCCTCTCTCCCTCGCTCTCTCTCCCTCTCTCACTCTCTCTCTCTCTCTCTCTCTCTCTCTCCTTCTCCCTCTCCCTCTCCCTCTCTCCCTCTCTCACTCTCTCTCTCTCACACTCTCTCTCTCTCGCTCTCTCTCGCTCTCTCTCGCTCTCTCTCGCTCTCTTTCTCGCTCTCTCTCGCTCTCTCTCGCTCTCTCTCGCTCTCTCTCGCTCTCTCTCGCTCTCTCTCGCTCTCTTTCTCGCTCTCTCTCGCTCTCTCTCGCTCTCTCTCGCTCTCTCTCGCTCTCTCTCGCTCTCTCTCGCTCTCTCTCGCTCTCTCTCGCTCTCTCTCGCTCTCTCTCGCTCTCTCTCGCTCTCTTTCTCGCTCTCTCTCGCTCTCTCTCGCTCTCTCTCGCTCTCTCTCGCTCTCTCTCGCTCTCTTTCTCGCTCTCTCTCGCTCTCTCTCGCTCTCTCTCGCTCTCTCTCGCTCTCTTTCTCGCTCTCTCTCGCTCTCTCTCGCTCTCTCTCGCTCTCTCTCGCCCTCTCTCCCTCTCCCTCTCTCTCTCTCTCTCTCTCCCTCTCCCTCTCTCTCTCTCTCTCTCTCTCTCTCTCTCTCTCTCTCTCTCTCTCTCTCTCTCTCTCTATGCTCGTTCTTTCAGTAATATGAGCCCTGTCACAAGCGCAGCAGTCAGTCATCTATCACTCACTGATCAAATAAGCCTTTGGCGGTCACCAAAAAAATTCAATGCAGGTAAAACCTCGTTTCATCTTCTCTCTTATTCAGCCTTTTAGCCGCGCGGTAGTCAGCTCCCTGTCACGTGACAACGGAGCGCAGCGTAAGTGAATGGGAGTGATGGACAGCTAATATTAACCTATCTAAAATCTGCTTTAAAGTTAGGAACGTAAGGATGAAGTTTGATTGGATGAAGGATGGATGTAATCGTTGGATAGAATGATAGTCCGGCCACCGCGTATCAGCGCACATAAGGTACACACTGTGCAGTAATTTGCGAACGTAGAGAAATAAAAACAGGTCGCACCACAACCATTATTTGCACTCGCACAGATGCTCCCAAATATATTTTTAGGTCGCACAGATTAAATTTCAGGAGCATATGCGACCAAAATGGTCGCAATTTCGAGCCCTGGTTCATGTGTTTCTTTCTTCAGTGGGAAAGAAATGAAGGTTTTTGAGGAACACACTCCAGGGTTTCTCCATATAGTGACTTCAATGGGGTCCAACGGGTCGAAGGTCCAGATGTGAGTTTCAGTGCAGCTTCAAAGTCTCGACACGATCCAGCCGAGGAATAAGAGTCTGATCTAGACAAACCAGCCGACATTTATAACAAAATACACATTTATATACTTTTAACATATAAAATGAGATGGAGTTTTTCGCCCTACATTTCTGAACCGGAACACACGTGACCTTTCACCCTGATTGCGTAATGTGTGTCGCATCACAGCTAGAGCAAGACCAGCATTAGTGGATAAAAGTATATAAATGTGTATTTTGTTATAAATGTGGGCTGGTTTGTCTAGATCAGACTCTTATTCCTCGGCTGGATCGTGTCGAGACTTTGAAGCTGCACTGAAACTCACATCTGGACCTTCGACCCGTTGGACCCCATTGAAGTCACTATATGGAGAAACCCTGGAGTGTGTTCCTCAAAAACCTTCATTTCTTTTCCACTAAAGAATGAAACACATGAACATCTTGGATGACGTGTGGGAGAGAGAGTTCACTTCAGAATTAAAATTCTGATAATTCAAATCCTTTAATGGTTATTAACACACACCCACTGCAAGCATCTCAGGGTTCATGAACGCCGAAAGCAACTCTATGCATGTTTAGTAAGATTCTCTCTCTGTTAAACATGTTATTGGACTGTCCTGGGTTTAATACTAGTATAATGCTCTTTTATAAAGTTATTTCACTTAAGGACTTAGTAAGATTATGCCTGAAAAGGGTTTTGATTTTTTTAATCATGTTAAATTATAATATGACTTGTTTGTTTGCTTGGTTTTATTGTATTTGTGATATTTGTATTTTTGTAATTTAACTTTTGCCATGAAAATAGCCTTAGATGCTGATATGCCAATAAATAAATCCATCCACCCATCCAGGACCCGGTGTATAAGATGGCCCCGTGGCAGCAGTCGGGTCACGCCACGCAGTCGAGCTCGGCTCTCACACACACGCAGAGAGGCTTCTACCCGCCGCATGTGCTGGGCTTCGACCCGCGCTGGATGATGATGCCCCCCTACATGGACCCGCGCCTGGCTCAGGGCTGCTCCCCGGTGGACTTCTACGCTCCGGGGGTGCACTCCGCCGGTGAGCAGCGGTGCTGGGGTTAGCATGGATGTTACTCAGGGATATGATCAAACCTAACCAGCATTCATCTTCAGACTCTTCACGAGTGCACACATTTGGGATTCCCAATATTAATAATTGAAGTATTAATTTGAGTTAACCCGGTGTTATTTTGTGGATCATTTAGATACTAATATAGTTTTTTTTTTTTTTTTTTAAGTTTCAGTAATTTTGTTGTCATTTATTTTTTTATTATTTTAGTTTATCAGTTCAATGAAAATGAGAAATGTTGCCTTGACAAATAGTTGAAGTTTAATATAAATTATTTTACTCAAAACAATTTTTTTTTTTTGTGGTTTTAGTCTAACAATAAAAACCCTACCTGAGATTTTGGGTTGATATTTCAATAATTTACGAACGTATTTGCATGTTGGCGATTCTCTGATGTCAGTTAATGCTCACATGACATACAGGTAAACAAACATGCAGCCTTTTTGATCTTTTTTAAATTATTTGGTTATAGTATAAGGATGTGAGATATGACAAAGTAATCACAATATGAATTTTTGTACAAATCATTTTGTCATGTCATTGAGTTGCGATTTGAACTGCGATTACAAACATTTGTCTCATAAAAAAAGTTAAAAAAATATCCTCCTTTTTTAAACTCTAATTACAAAAAATTACTATTATAATACATTTGTACTTTTAAATAAATGAATATATGATGATGATAATTTTACACTACAAGTTACAAGTATATCTCACTTTCAAATAATAAACCCCAAGCTTTTATTTTGGTGGGAAACTATAGGGTGACCTTTTAGACTGTTTAGTATACAAAAGGTTTATAAGCTGCTCTTCTCCACAAAAATGTTGGAAATTATGTGATATGATTTTGTGCGGAGCTCAAGAGTTAAAACACGTCTTATTGCTTTTATAAAACGGTTACACCATAAAAATATTCATTGTAATATTTATTTTATTCATGCCTTCTTTTCTTCAGAACATGCTCTTTATATTGTGATAATGATATTTAACTTGTTTTATTTGAAAGGTCTAGTGAAACCCGTCATTCAGCAGGATCACCTGAACAGCCCCGGTTCCACCTCTGACGAAGGCTGCCATCCCAGCATGCATCAGGAGAGGAGGGCACCATCCACTGAGCCCTACCAAGTGTGGAACCAAGACAGCTACTCGTCAGCGCGCAGTTTCACGCCGCCCTACCAGAGACAGCATGAGAACGACGAACGTGACGACCGGTCCTGCTCCCGACACGACTCCTATGAAGACCGAGGTCACGAACTCACGGAAAGTCCAGCGGAGGAACTGAACAATCAAGGTGGAACCCATGAAGGGCCTTTAATACTTAGCAGAACCCATCCTGGAGATGCCGAACACAGAGACGTGTCCTCCGTCAGGCACCAGAAAGAACCCGCAGAATCCCGTGACGAGGCCTTCGACACCAAGGAGAAGAGCTACGACTCCGATTTCTGGAGGAAAGACGCTAGTGTGAGGAAAGATGGCGGCTGTCAGGCCCAGTGGTCCGATCACGGTTCCAGCAGCAGCAGTAGCATTAGCATTAGCATTAGCCAGCCGTCGGAGTCCAGCGGGAGAACGCTTAGGAGGACCGGACCTATCAAGAAACCTGTGCTGAAGCCGTTGAAGGTTCGGTTAAATTCAATTCACATTTATTTGTATAGCGCTTTTCCTAATGCACATCGTTTCAAAGCAGCTTTACTGAAAATGCATGAGTGATCTATTATCAGAGGAAACTGTCTAAGTTATGTATTTCAGAAATGTACACAGATCACAGTTTATTAATTTAAACAATGTAGTAATTTAAAGCAGAAACAATGAGCTCACTGAAGTAATGAATACTTGTTTGTTAACAAATAAAGGTTGAGGACAAGGAGAACGAGAAACCCAAATCTGAGCCTGAGGAGAAGCCCGTCCCATACAGACTAGAGAAGGAAGTGGTCACTAATGTCTACGACCTGAAAAAAGACGCCCCGCTCGTGTCTAACAGGCACTCCGCTCCACCTCCCGCATCTTCCCCCGAGGAAAAACACGCGGATGCTCCGAAGTTAGAGAAAACAAGAAGTCTGCATGAAGATCTGCACAAGGAGAGCTGCTGGGACACCGCTAAGCCTCAGTCTGTGGACTCTTCTGATAGCAGAGATGCTCCACGCCGCAACAACTGGATATTCATCGATGAAGAGCAGGCATTCGCCGGGGCGAGAGGAACTGGTCGTGGACGTAGCCGCGGGTTTAGAGAGTTTAGCTCTCGCGGTGGCGCTCGTGGCGGACGAGGCGACGCGAACCGTGGAGGCTATAATAATAATAACAATACGACAGGAGTGCAGAGACCAGCGCGGGGACGTGGCTCTCGAGATTTCAGAAGCGAAGATCTTCAACGAGGAAAACCCCGTCGACGCAACGTTAGCGAGACGCACAGCGAAGCCTCGGAATACGAAGAGCTTCCCAAACGTCCACGGCAAAAGGTCGCAGAGAACGGAGAGGCTTCGTATGCGCCACCTGGAGAGGTTAAAAGAGCCGATCGGGAGTCGTGGAGATCCAACAAGGTGTACACCGACGAGCAAAGCGGGAACGGCGACAAGGCCAAATCAACAAGAGTGTTTGGAAGGTCGTTACCGCCTCGGCTCAACGCGGGATACAACCGTGGGTTCGTCTCGAGGGATATTTCCACATGGAGAGGAAGAGGAACTCAGTTTGGAAGCGGATCTGCGCAGGAGAACGGATACAACTTTGGCACGGACTCCTATTCCAAACGTTCGTCAGAACGCGACCCGCTAAAATACCCGCCGCCTAAATTCACCAGTCCTTTTGTAGAGAATGGCGTCGAGGATAGAGAGGGAGGCTACTATATTGATAACGATAACCCCGATAACCGGCCAATGAGACGCCGGCGTCCGCCTCGCCAAGATAAACCGCCACGGTTCCGCCGACTACGCCAAGAACGTGAAGGAGGAGGGCAATGGAACGGCGAAGAATATGTAAACGGAGACTTTGCTAATCAGTGGCCGGGTCGACCCAAGGAAGAGCACTGGCCGAATCACTATTCTGGAGGACGACCGCAAGAGATCACGGGTCAGAGTCAAGCCGAGGATTGGGAAACCGGCTCTGAGAACAGTGATTTCAGCGACTGGAGGGAGAAACGTGGCCCACATGGCGACTCGCTTGCTGACGCGGGGCACGGGGAACCCGGTTCTGAGAAGAGAGAGCTCTCCAAACGGAGCTTCTCCAGCCAGAGACCAGTCGTCGAGAGACAGAACCGGAAGAGTGAAGTGTGTGTAATGGAAAACAACAAGATGACCCGCTCAACAGACACCCAGTCCGGTGCAGGCTCCTCCGGTAGAAACGAGAGCTGGCAGAACGGTGTTGCTTGCAACAGCAAACGGTACGTTTCTTTAGAACACGTGCTTTGTGAGATATAACTTACACTGTGTTGGAGAATGTCCCCCTGTAGTCAATGATTGTATCCCTTAAAACTCATCTTTGATCTCCAAATTTAAATCACCGCTTTAAAATATCTTGAATGTAACTCGACACCCTCGCCTCATTTAGTATGCGCTGTTCTGTGAATATGCAAATGAGCCCCGCCTCCACTCTCTCCCTCAGCTCAGAGATCCACTGGTTGACGATCACACGTTGATCTGATTGGTTACAAGGTCGTTTGTGACGTCAGAAACACCAGCGATTTCAAACCGTGTTTTTGAGACTGTCTTTGGTTCACTGCAGTTTTAAGGAGGAAATACTCAGCAATGCTGTCGACTTATGAACTTACACATGGTGTGTCTTAAAGCAGATTAAAAACACCATATAGACACATAAACAACATTAAACGCTGGATTTACACCACAGGGGGACTTTAAGTAATGCATCTTGCGTTACTCCCTAAAAAAATTGCATCTGTTATTCATGTTACTGGTGATGTGTTACTTGTTACATAAAAAATAATGATCTGATAACATAACGCACTGTACTTGCAAAGCATTAGCCCCGACACTAATGATGAAATTCACACTATGAATGTCTCTTAATCCACTTCAGAGGTCCAGAGGAATCGGTCCCGGGCCTGAGCTCGGCATCTGTGTACGGTGTGGAGCAGAGCGACGACACCAGCGCCGCCGAAGCCACGGGGAAGATCATCGAGAAAGACATGAAACCCAGAAGCATGAAGGGGGACATGACAGAACAACTGTCCCAATATGACCTGAATACTTACTCAAGTAAGCCACAAAACATTTTTTTAATGATAGAAGCGCCTTTCCAATACAGGAGAATTGACGACAAACCATTGAGACAGAATAAAACTCTATATAGCCACAGTGCAAATGTTCAGTAATGCTCAATAACACCAGTGTTAGTTATTAGTGTGTTGAACTGGCGGTTATGGAAAGGGGCGGGACATTTCCCAAACACTCAAAGCGCTCGACCAATCACAACACACTGCTCCAGCCGACCAATCAGAGCACAGTGTGCTTTTCAGAAGGAGGGGCTTCATAGAGACAGGAAGTAAACAGGGCGTTACTGGCAGACTGGGAAGAGAGGAGCCGCAACAGTGGAGAATATGAGGAGAATAATCAAAATTCAAGCAGGAAAACATGAATTGAATTAGAGCTAAACACATTATATATTAAAAATGGCCTCTTTAAAAATAAGTTGTTTATTGGTATTAATGGTTCCATGAAGACCCTTCAACATCCATGTAATCTTTTACATTGCATAAAAGGTTTTTTATTCTGGTAAAACGTTCTTTAGATTTATTAATGTTCATCACACACAGAAAAAAATGGTTCGGTTGAAGAACTGTTCACTAAAAGGTTGTTTGGGGAACTAAAAATGGAGGTTCTGTGAAAAAAGATTTATTTTCAAGTTGAGTAGTTATATATCGATTTAAGAAACCACACTGTAAAGAGGTAGCGAAGACTTTAACAGTGCTGTGCTGTAAATCTACAACAACAGAAACGCATCAGTTAGCGGTTGACGGTGTTTGAAATCGAGCTGTGCGTTAGGTCGTGGTGTTCAGTATTGGAGCTAGGGTTGGGTATTGTTTGAATTTAATGATTCCTAATTTCAATTCCATTAAGGTAAAAAACAACAACCTTAGATATTTCATTCACATTTAGTCTTATTGCAAAAGATCGAATTGTAGGGCTAAACATTTAAACTGTAGGGCTAAACAGGCTAAATAACTCTTACTCAAGGAGTATGCCTGTGGTTTGAAAACACCATAGAAGAACAACTAGCCAAACTAATATACACTTCAAGCATTATTAAATACAATAAACACTCAGTTATTAAAAAAGAACAAATAAAAAATTAGCAATCAAAACAAGTAGATACAACTGAACAAAGATACGATTGAAATAAACAAAGATACGATTGAAATAAACAAAGATACGATTGAAATAAACAAAGATACGATTGAAATAAACAAAGATACGATTGAAATAAACAGTGTTTTAAGATTTTCAGGTGTTCAGGTTCAGAAACCAATCAAATGTAAAATAACACTGCACTTTATAAATAAAATACACATTATAGTTACAAAAGTTATCCAGTCTAGAGCGAGTGAGTGTTCTCAGTCTTCTATTGTGTGATTAGTGTTATTATAGAGACGGCAGGAATATCAGCGCTGTCCCTTTAAGAGCTGCACGGGTCCAATACACATGAACACAGCATTCGAGTTGAAATTTTATTACAAGTATTCGTTTCCTGAGCAAGTATTCGATTCTGTTTTCGATTCCCAACCCTAATTGGAGCTGTCATTTGTGTTTGTTCTCAGTTGAAAGTGATTCAGGAGCATCTGTGCCCAGTCCAGAGGTGTACCAGGACGCTCTGTCCAAGAAGCAGCGCCGCCCGCAGGATGAAGACCGCAGGAGGAAAGATCAGGGTCCTCCGGTGAGTAATCCAGAGCGCATCTAAAAGACCATCACAACTTAGTTATTTAAAGGTGCTGTATGTTACTTTTTTTACTCTACTAAAGCATAAAAGTTTGCAGATATTTAGGAAACTGAGTTCACATACTCGTTTCTCTGATAAACACTTCTACAGCCGGTTTTTTTACTTATTAATTTACACGTTCCATGTTGTCAGTCGGTTTTTGTTTTGGTCTGTGTGACTCCGCCCACTGCCAGTTCAGCCAATAGTATTTCGACACCCCGGGATGCCAGTTAGCAGGAAACGCAGCGTATAGTAGCCATGGAAATGAGCAAACAAACTGGGTCAGAGATCGCAGATTCCACACAACCTAAAAAGCCCCGATATCCATCTACAGGGTAGCCGCGGGGTCTTAAAAGTCTTAAAAAGGTCTTAAATTTCATGTTCCTAAATTAAGGCCTTAAAAAGTCTTAAATTCCATTGTCGAGTCTTAATTTTTTAAACGAATGTCTTAAATTTCATTATACTAGCCTTATTTAAAGTCAACCAGACTGCAACGCAAGGTGAAATGGGGGGAAAAACCAGTCCCTCCAGGATTTCGCAATGTCGCGATCGCAACTATTAATGCAACTTCAACAAATCCCCGTGAATTCGCCTTGCAACTTTGACCAATCATCACGGTCTCCTGCAAAGCGTCATCAAACTCACTTCTTTGTTTTGTTCAGAAGACGTAGCAGACATGTGTGCTGCCAACGTCTCACATTTACCTACAAAAATAACAGCGAGAGAGGCGCGATCGAAATGTGTGTGTGAGAGAGAGAGACGGATCGAACTGTGTGTGTGAGAGAGAGAGAGAAAGAGGCGCGGGCGCGATCGGACTGTGTGAGAGAGAGACGGATCCAACTGTGTGTGTGAGAAAGAGAGAGAGAGAGAGAGAGAGAGAAAGAGGCGCGGGCGCGATCGGACTGTGTGTGTGTGAGTGAGAGAGACGGATCCAACTGTGTGTGTGTGATCGAACAGTGGAAACATAAAAACATACTCCGTCATTTTGTTCATCAAACAGCAAAGTGTTTACTTAATTGTTTACACTCGCAACGTTAAACACAACGTTGTGCTTCTGTCGCACTCTAAACTCTTGTCAAACTGTAACCTACAAAGGAAGCAAGATGACTGAACTTATTGTAAAATCGAACGCTTTCAGAAGGAGCTACAAAGACGAACTGGCTGAGCTTAAGAATATAGACGAAGAGATTGTTGCCAAAGGTGTTGAGCTAAGAAACTTGTAGCTACTAAGTGATTTGATGTTGTTGTGATGTACTGAAAACTCTCTCTCCTATCTACCTCTCTCTCGCTCTCCTATCTATCTATTGCTCTCTCTCTTTCTAATATCTGTCTATTGCTCTCTCTCTCCTGTCTCCTATCTAATCTGTCTATCTGTTAGTTTATCTTTTTATTGTTATGAATGTTTGAAATTTACCAAAAACATTGTGTTAAATTAGTTTTTTTTTATAATAAATGTATTTTTAATTAAAACATTTGTTAGTAATAGTCATTATTGGGATTTGATCTGGTGTTTTACGGCTGCATAATGGGTGCGATGTAGGTCTTAATTTTCATTAAAGTGGTCTTAAAAAGGTCTTAAAGTCTTAAATTTGGGGTGATCAAACCTGGGGAAACCCTGATCTAAAAATCTCTATAAACGAGACATTATTAAAACGTGGATAAATCAACTCCTCAACGTATGTATGTCTCCTCGGCAACAAATTGCGCATGTCCTCAAACTGGCAACCCGCGTGAGCGTCGAGTCTGCGGAGGCGGGGGAACAAAGATCTCTGGTATTTTGAATTTGGACTGCAGTTCCTATTCCCACCACTAGCTGTTATTCTTACAGACTGCACCTTTAAAACTGCATGAAGTATCACTTGACTGCATATTGAAGGTAATTTGTTTGTGCGCCCAAAGGGTTCGGTGAAAAACAGAACAATTGCTTCGAAAATGCCTCCCCGTTTTGCTAAGAAGCAGGGCAGCATGTCCCTCGAGCAACCCGAAGAAACGCTCTCCGCCAACAACCTGGGGACTGAGATCTGGGAGACGAACAGCACGGGTAAAGCAGATGGAAACAGTGAGACTAATGAAGTTGATGAGTAGCTCATGTGATTCTTAATGACTTTGTGTTCCCTCCTGAAGCTCTGAGTGTCCAGTCGTCAGGCGGAGACTCGTGGACGAAGCAGGTTTCCTACACGGGAAGCGAACCCAATTCAGAGGTGCGGGTCTTTCTACTTTATGACAATCTCTTGCTAGTTTTGTAGGAATCCCAAGAATCGTTTGAACTTTTCTGAATTACTTTTTTTTTTTATATATAATTGTAGTATTATAAGTAATAGTATTACATAGGGGTGTAACGGTACACGTATTCGTATTGAACCGTTCGGTACTAGGCTTTCGGTTCGGTTTTCGGTACGCATTTTTAAACCGAACGGTTTGTGGACCATTTTCCTGCCGACCAAAATTTCCTTATTTCAAATGTAGGCGCGTCGCGCGTGGCGAGCGCGCTCATAATGTAAGAGACGCTGGCGTGACCACAACATTGCCCAACATCAAATGGCAAATGTAAGCGGAACGAAACTGAGCCACTCGTTATTGTGTGGTTGGCGGACCGTTTATCAGTTTGGACCAATGCAGCGCGAGCCGATCTTCATCATCAGCACTGTTACTACACAGCCCAATCCAGTAAACATTTGAGTTCGCCACTGAAGTACTAACTCATCGCTGCGAGATCTAGTGAGACACATTCACATTTCTCCGTTATTAACGGATCAAACAGCGCTGACGTGGAAACCAGGAAGAAACATTGTGCCATGAATGAACTATCCAGTGTCCACAGATCAGCAACATCACCATGGGTTTACTGTAGTAACACTACTAACTGTAGTAACACTACTAACTGTAGTAACACTACTAACTGTAGTAACACTACTAACTGACTACTAACTGTAGTAACACTACTAACTGTAGTAACACTACTAACTGTAGTAACACTACTAACTGTAGTAACACTACTACTAACTGTAGTAACACTACTAACTGTAGTAACACTACTAACTGTAGTAACACTACTAACTGTAGTAACACTACTAACTGTAGTAACACTACTAACTGTAGTAACACTACTACTAACTGTAGTAACACTACTAACTGTAGTAACACTACTAACTGTAGTAACACTACTAACTGTAGTAACACTACTAACTGTAGTAACACTACTACTAACTGTAGTAACACTACTACTAACTGTAGTAACACTACTAACTGTAGTAACACTACTACTAACTGTAGTAACACTACTAACTGTAGTAACACTACTAACTGTAGTAACACTACTACTAACTGTAGTAACACTACTAACTGTAGTAACACTACTAACTGTAGTAACACTACTAACTGTAGTAACACTACTACTAACTGTAGTAACACTACTACTAACTGTAGTAACACTACTAACTGTAGTAACACTACTACTAACTGTAGTAACACTACTAACTGTAGTAACACTACTAACTGTAGTAACACTACTAACTGTAGTAACACTACTAACTGTAGTAACACTACTAACTGTAGTAACACTACTACTAACTGTAGTAACACTACTACTAACTGTAGTAACACTACTAACTGTAGTAACACTACTAACTGTAGTAACACTACTACTAACTGTAGTAACACTACTACTAACTGTAGTAACACTACTACTAACTGTAGTAGGGCTGTAGCGATACACTAATCTCACGATACAATACGATACACGATATTCAGCTCACGATACGATATATATCACGATATTCAGCCAACGATACGATTCGATATAATTCGATACACTTACATCATTTTCTGAAAGATTTAAAGGGGACAGAGTGATTTTGGTGACATCTTGTGAGTGTTCCATTTACTTTGATTGAATTAATTGAACTGAAAACTAAAAACATCAATTACACAATATATGTCTCTGACTGGACAGAGCTACACCTTGCAAATGCTGGACAAAATGAATTAAAGATGTGTTGAGAAAATTAGTTCCATTTATTGAAACAGTGCAAACTGTAGCTTGCAAGTCTTTGAAAAGTAAATTAAGTGCAGTACTGCAATTAACAATGGAGAGTTAAAAAGTGCAAATAAAGTTTTGAGAAAAAAGGTTTTATAAAAAGATAAACCTCACATATTTCAGCCTTTTATAAAAAGAATGAGTCAAAAAAGATAAATTACTGACATGATTTACAATGCACATTAGCTTATCTTTTATTATTAATAGTAAAATTCGGTCCGATTTTCCCGTGGCGTCTGTCGTTGCTAAGCAACCATGAACTGCGCTCTCCACAACGACAAAGAACGAGGTTTTAGTAGCAAATGGATTTCCACCACCGGAAAACGCTTGCTGTAGCTCTGCTCTGCTACAAGATTTATTTACGGAGCAGAGAAAAACACCCGTAGTGTTTGGGTGCACCCCCATCCTTCATGTTGGCCGAGCTTTTAATGTTGTTATGGAAAGGGTGAAACTGATGGTTGGTTATCACATGAACTGCGGTGCGCTTGCGCCATTCTGAAAAGTTGAGGTGTTTTCATCTCGCTGCGCCTGGAGAAAATGAGCGCGTCGCTTCAATTATGAGCGCGCTTGCCGCGCGCCTACATTTGAAATAACGAACTTGAGCACGCAAAAGACACGATATGTGAACGGCCCCTTGACGAGCCAAGTTAAACACGGGGGATTTGAATGGGACTTATATATCGATACTCGCGGCTTAAATATCGATACTATCTTGGGGGGGGGAAATATCGATTTATATCGCAGAATCGATTAAATCGCCCACCCCTAAACTGTAGTAACACTACTACTAACTGTAGTAACACTACTACTAACTGTAGTAACACTACTAACTGTAGTAACACTACTAACTGTAGTAACACTACTAACTGTAGTAACACTACTAACTGTAGTAACACTACTAACTGTAGTAACACTACTACTAACTGTAGTAACACTACTACTAACTGTAGTAACACTACTAACTGACTACTAACTGTAGTAACACTACTAACTGACTACTAACTGTAGTAACACTACTAACTGACTACTAACTGTAGTAACACTACTAACTGTAGTAACACTACTAACTTAACTGTAGTAACACTACTAACTGTAGTAACACTACTAACTGTAGTAACACTACTAACTGTAGTAACACTACTAACTGTAGTAACACTACTAACTGTAGTAACACTACTAACTGTAGTAACACTACTAACTGTAGTAACACTACTAACTGACTACTAACTGTAGTAACACTACTAACTGACTACTAACTGTAGTAACACTACTAACTGACTACCAACTGTAGTAACACTACTAACTGTAGTAACACTACTAACTTAACTGTAGTAACACTACTAACTGTAGTAACACTACTAACTGTAGTAACACTACTAACTGTAGTAACACTACTAACTGTAGTAACACTACTACTAACTGTAGTAACACTACTACTAACTGTAGTAACACTACTACTAACTGTAGTAACACTACTAACTGACTACTAACTGTAGTAACACTACTAACTGACTACTAACTGTAGTAACACTACTAACTGACTACTAACTGTAGTAACACTACTAACTGTAGTAACACTACTAACTTAACTGTAGTAACACTACTAACTGTAGTAACACTACTAACTGTAGTAACACTACTAACTGTAGTAACACTACTAACTGTCTGTAGTAACACTACTAACTGTAGTAACACTACTAACTGTAGTAACACTACTAACTGTAGTAACACTACTAACTGTAGTAACACTACTACTAACTGTAGTAACACTACTAACTGACTACTAACTGTAGTAACACTACTAACTGTAGTAACACTACTAACTTAACTGTAGTAACACTACTAACTGTAGTAACACTACTAACTGTCTGTAGTAACACTACTAACTGTAGTAACACTACTAACTGTAGTAACACTACTAACTGTAACCATGGGAGTGTGGCAGGAATAGTAGGCTATAATGCTTTCAAGTAACATCACGTCGGTTTTATTTTGACATTATGAATACAATTGCTGCCCTCAAATGTTAATCTGAACTAAAATAAACCTTTGTTTATAACTACTACAATATTACATTTCATTTTGTCCAAGGAGCTGTTTTGGTTTATAAGCTCCTAAGAAGAGTCAAGTATAGCTCCATCATTGCTCAAAGTAAAAAAATATCATACTTTATGATGTTAGTTTTAATAAAAATATAATTAAAAAAATGAAATCAAGGAAATTTCTCTGGCATTTCTTTTTTTTTGCTGTATCGAAAACGTACCGAACCGTGACACAAGTGTATCGAACCGAACCGTGAGTTTTGTGAACCGTTACACCCCTAGTATTACATTAAGATGTACATTATACCGTACAAGAGTAATATATTTCTATTGCAGTTTCTCAAAGTTAAACCAAACTTTTATAGTGACGGGTTGAAGACCTTCTTCTGTAAGCTCAGATTAAATGTTGTCAGCACTTGATTTGGCCATTTTTAACACTCGATGGGTCGGTGCCTAAAACAGTATTCGATACCCAACCCTAATCGATCATCAAGGATAGTTTACAGCTGCATATTTTCCTTTTAAGATTGACATTGTTTTGGATATAATCGAGATTGGTATTGAATCAAATTGGTTTGTGAATCGACACCAAACGGGGAAATTTGTATCAATGCCCAGCCCTACACTTCTGCGTACAGCATCCCTCACTCGCAGAGCCGATCCCGAGACTAACGCCCCACTGTCCTGTCCTCCAGGACTCAGACGCCGGGCCCGAGCAGAGCAAAGAACACAAGCCCGGGCCCATCGGCAACGAGCGCTCGCTGAAGAACCGCAAGGGCTCCGAGGGCCTGGAGCGCCTCGAGGGACCCATAACCCCCGTCAACGGAGTGGACCTTCATGTGGACGGTGTTCTCCCAGTGCCGCCCATCGAGTTCGGCGTCAGCGCCAAGGATTCGGACTTCAGCCTCCCTCCCGGATCCACACCGGTTCCCGTGTCCAACCCCGTCTCCAAGCTTCAGGACGCGCTCGCTGGCAACGTGCGTACATGAGCTCCTAGCAGGGGTGTGCGATACACAGGCAAACCAAACATTATCCAGACACCAGATATCATTTTATATTTTTTTACTTGTGTGATCAGGACACTATAGTTATGTAAGTGAGGAGAGCAAAATAAAGTAAACTGTGACACATTATACCCAAATATTCTTCATACAGTGACTACCAGTAACATTTATACACATTCAGGAGCAGAAATGATTCCTCCACTTTGAGCTGATCATGTTCTGCTGAAGTGTGTTTTCTGTAATCGCTAATGCTCTTTTTACACACACACTGAACAACATGAAGCATTGCTTGGTCACTGGTTGAGCTAAACTGGTATTATCTAATTGTGTAGTTAAATTTAACAGCTGACAGATATTCAACATAATTCATGTGTGAGAGTCTAACAGAAGGACGGACAAAACCAGTCAAATATCCACTGATTTATCATGTCTTATCACCATTTTCTAAACTATAGCGAATAAACTGTGATAATGTGAGAAATGTTCAAGGTGTCTGAATAAATTTTAGTTTGACTGTATATCGTTTGCGATAATATCGTAATTGTTGTTTTAACGATGGGCGGTTTTGACATTTTCGAGTATATCCGTCACACTGGTCTTGTAGATCAGGCTAGTGCGGGTGAGCGTTTTGAGTGCTCAAATAGATTTAGTCTAGATTTACATCATTTAACATAGTTAATAAATATTAATTACAAATATCATGCTGATATTTTTCTCCAAATATCAGCATAACAAATGTGATAACTTCTTGTTTATTAAAATTGTATGAAATTAATATTGAGTGACTTACATTTTAGACACCCTATTGGCTGTTTTTGCTCTATTTCACCAACGAAAATAGTCCAAAACAAAACAACTGCGTCTGAGCGACAGCGGCGTTTCCTCACTGAATGAATCGGCTTTTTGAAGAAATCAGTCAATGATTCAATGACTAAAATAGATTAAACAGTCAAGCGTTCCTGAATGAATCCGCCGTTTGAAGGATTTGGTTGAATCGCAATGACTCGCTTGTTTACGGTGACTTGCTGCCACCCACTGGTGGTTTTAATTTATTTCTCATTTAAAGTATCTTTTCATATTTTAAATATCAAATATTCAATATTTTGTTTTAAACATTATTTATGCTTGTGTAACCAGTTTAAATGCATTCATTATAATGGTAAAAATGCCCATAAAAGGTAAAAATCATATTGGGAAAAAAATATTCCTGTCACTGATGCGAATTAACCACCACACAGATTATGAAGAATATCAAAACTTTAGGAGTGTCCACGGCAGTCCTAAACCTGCCAAGGTACCAGCACAATAACACACTCCGCAAACTATTGTCTAATAACCATTATCAATAAAATCCCAGAAAATATTGATATATATTTTTAGTCAATATCGCACACCCCTCCCTCCTAAAGCAGTGTCTGCCTTGTGTAAAGAAGCGTTGAGCGTTTATCCTGTGGTTGTTGTGTGTTCACAGGCGGGCCTGACTCAAGCCATCCCGATGCTCCGGAGAGACCATCTCCAGCCGGGAATAAACCTCAACCCCATCAGTTTCCCGAGCGCAGACCTCACGCTCAAGGTAACGCTGCCCGAATCTCGTCCTCCCGAATGCTCGTGCCCACCCCTAGCATGTTCCTCATCAGCGTCTCTGTGCCCTCAGATGGAGTCGGCTCGTAAGGCGTGGGAGAACTCCCAGGCTCTCCCGGAGCAGGGCTCCCCGGGGTCGGGATCGGGAGCTCAGCCGGCCTGCAGTGTGGGCTCCTCCGTCAGCTACAGCTCCTTCGGTGGCGTGTCGATGCCGCCCATGCCCGTGGCGTCTGTCGCGCCCTCTGTCTCCATGCAAGGTAGTGTTAAAAGTGTTAGAGGTTATCGGATGCAAAATTCACTTTCATGTGGTGGTTGCATATAAATGTGTGTTTGCAGTGTGTGGACACAATCACCAAACAGTCCATTTTAATCCTCAAAAAGCCTAAACACACTCAATAATCAAGCCGTTTGGATTTTCTGAGCAATATGATGTCATAGTGTTGCTCATTATCATTTAAAGAGACATGCACCGAAACGGGTCGCTGTGATCAAATCTATGCATACAGGTCCCTCTCAAAAAATTAGCATATTGTTATAAAGTTCATTATTTTCATAATGTAATGATAAAAATTAAACTTTCATATATTTTAGATTCATTGCACACCAACTGAAATATTTCAGGTCTTTTATTGTTTTAATACTGATGATTTTGGCATACAGCTCATGAAAACCCAAAATTCCTGTCTCAAAAAATTAGCATATTTCATCCGACCAATAAAAGTGTTTTTAATACTACAAAAAAAAAAGTCAACCTTCAAATAATTGTTCAGTTATGCACTCAATACTTGGTTGGGAATCCTTTTGCAGAAATGACTGCTTCAATGCGGCGTGGCATGGAGGCAATCAGCCTGTGGCACTGCTGAGGTGTTATGGAGGCCCAGGATGCTTCGATAGCGGCCTTAAGCTCATCCAGAGTGTAGGGTCTTGCGTCTCTCAACTTTCTCTTCACAATATCCCACAGATTCTCTATGGGGTTCAGGTCAGGAGAGCTGGCAGGCCAATTGAGCACAGTAATACCATGGTCAGTAAACCATTTACCAGTGGTTTTGGCACTGTGAGCAGGTGCCAGGTCGTGCTGAAAAATGAAATCTTCATCTCCATAAAGCTTTTCAGCAGATGGAAGCATGAAGTGCTCCAAAATCTCCTGATAGCTAGCTGCATTGACCCTGCCCTTGATAAAACACAGTGCACCAACACCAGCAGCTGACATGGCACCCCAGACCATCACTGACTGTGGGTACTTGACACTGGACTTCAGGCATTTGGGCATTTCCTTCTCCCCAGTCTTCCTCTAGACTCTGGCACCTTGATTTCCGAATGACATGCAAAATTTGAGCAACAGTCCAGTGCTGCTTCTCTGTAGCCCAGGTCAGGCGCTTCTGCCACTGTTTCTGGTTCAAAAGTGGCTTGACCTGGGGAATGCGGCGCCTGTAGCCCATGTCCTGCACACGCCTGTGCACACTGCTTCCGCAGGTCCCCCAAGGTCTGGAATCGGTCCTTCTCCACAATCTTCCTCAGGGTCCGGTCACCTCCTCTCGTTGTGCAGTGTTTTTTTGCCACACTTTTTCCTTCCCACAGACTTCCCACTGAGGTGCCTTGATACAGCACTCTGGGAACAGCCTATTTGTTCAGAAATTTCTTTCTGTGTTTTACCCTCTTGCTTGAGGGTGTCTTACCTCATGATTGCGGTTTTGAGTAATGAAACAGGCTGGGAGTTTTTAAAAGCCTCAGGAATCTTTTGCAGGTGTTTAGAGTTAATTAGTTGATTCAGATGATTAGGTTAACAGCTCGTTTAGAGACCCTTTTCATGATATGCTAATTTTGAGACAGGAATTTGGGGTTTTCATGAGCTGTATGCCAAAATCATCAGTATTAATTTAAAACAATAAAAGACCTGAAATATTTCAGTTGGTGTGCAATGATCCTAAAATATATGAAAGTTTAATTTTTATCATTACATTATGGAAAATAGTGAACTTTATCACAATATGCTAATTTTGAGAAGGACCTGTATATCGAATTGAATTTTGATTCAAAATCGAGAATCAAACAATCAAAATCAACTTAGAAAAATCAAAAGAACTTGACTGAATGAAAACATGGCATGGTTGACTAAATATGATGATAACTCAAAAGTACATTTGATACAGGACTAAGACTAAATGTAAAAATAGCTGACAAAATTACCACTAATGCAAGGTCTGCCGTCTCGTTCGTCTCTCAGACTCTGAGTACGGCTCTAAATACTGTGTGTGTTACAGGCAGTCACATCCCTCCTCTGTATCTGGATGGTCATGTGTTTCCCAGTCAGCCGCGCCTCGTGCCGCCCTTGACTCAGCAGCCGAGCTACCAGCAGGTACGTGTCGGCACCTCCCATATCAGGCCTCCACCATTACACCAAAAGCCTTTTGGATATGGGCTTACTTATAACGTTACTTGTTACATAATTCATGTTACTTATAACGTTACTTGTTACATAAAGTAATCCGCTTACGTAATTCATGTTACTTATAACGTTACTTGTTACATAATTCATGTTACTTATAACGTTACTTGTTACATAAAGTAATTCGCTTACGTAATTCATGTTTCTTATAACGTTACTTGTTACATAAAGTAATCTTACGTAATTCATGTTACTTCTAATCTTGTTACATTAAGTCTAAACTATCAATCAGATGACAGAAGGACTGTAGTAGATTGAGCTACACAGCAATGACTTTGCTCATGTTGATCATTTAGAGGCCTTAGATGTGCATCAAATATGATACAGTAGTCTTTATATGGTTGATTCATGCGGTCCGTGTGTGTGTGTGTGTGTGTCCAGGCCACCGCTCAGCAGATCCCCATCTCTCTGCACACGTCTCTGCAGGCTCAGGCTCAGCTGGGTCTACGAGGAGCTCTGCCCGTCTCTCAGTCCCAGGAGATGTTCAGCTCCATGCCTCCCTTCAGGTAATCCTCTCGCCACAGGAACTACCGCTACTCTTCTCCACTTTACATTAGGGTTGGGAATCGAAAATCAATTATAATTCTGGAATTGAATACTTAAGGGTCAGGAATCAGATACTTGTAATAAAATTTTGATTCCTCTTATCGATTCCTCTGTGAGCGTCTCAATATGAGTGTGAAGCGTTGGAGCGCGAGAGACTCTGTCCTCATGTGTATCAGTGTATCGGACCCGTGCGGCTCTTAAAGGGACAGCACTGATATTCCTGCCGTCTCTATAATAACACTAATCACACAACAGAAGACTGAGAACACACACTCGCTCTAGACTGGATAACTTTTATAACTATATTTATAAAGTGCAGTGTTATTTTACATTTGTATTTTCTACACCTGAAAATCTTCAAACACTGTTTATTTCAATCGTATCTTTGTTCAGTTGTATCTATTGTTGCGATTTTCTAATTTTTTATTTGTTCTTTTTTTAATTACTGAGTGTTTATTGTCTTTAATAATGCTTGAAATTTATATAAGTTCAGCTAGTTGTTTTCTATGGTGTTTTTTTTTTTAAACCACAGGCAAACGTTCATGATATTCAGCTACAATTAAATGTTTTGCATTTAATATTATATCTAGTTTTTTTAACTTTATTGGAATCGAAATTAGGGATCGATGAGCAGAATCGAAATCTTTAAAATTAAAACGATACCCGAACCCACTTCCCATGCTTTGTGCACGCAGTCGTCATCATAAAGACTTGGTGAAAACAATTGATAAATTTGAGTGCTTGCATCAATAACTGCTGAATATAACGAGCACTACACTGACATCCAATCTAGAGAAAATAGCAGATAAGCACAACTTTATTTAGTACTGGGCATTGACAAATTTCACGATTTGATTTCGTTCACGGCAGTTTCGGGAGTCGATCATGGAATGACATATTAGCGGATTCACTCCCACATTTAAAAGCGCTCGTCACTCCTGAAATTTTGCCTATGCATTTTAAACTGAATAGACCTTATTCAGAGCAGCGCCATGACCGTTATGGAAGCGAGGCTGTGGGGATAGACTGTATAAAGCTCCTATATCACTTATTTTCACTTCGTTTTTCTTCTGCTGAAATTTCTTGGAAAGATACTTTTGCTTTTTCGTCAGCAGAACAATCCAGGAACACATTAAATAACATGAGCACTCACTGAAGAGATGTCTCCATCACAGCCTTGCGTCAGTTCCCATTCAAATGGATGAGATTATAATTATAATAATATAAAAAGATATTTGAGGTTGTTAAGGATGGAATGTAACTAGAACATGTTCTCTCCCATTTAAAAAAAAAAAAATTATACTTAGAAACAATTTAACAAATCTGGAGTACAATTTATATTTGAAACACATGAGGTAATTGTTCATATTTGTATTTGCAAAGACACTTTGTGATTGCATTGAGCACTGAAATATACTATATCATTGTACTCGCATATAAATAAACATAAAAAAATAAAAATAAAATCAAAGATGGCGCTGCTGTGAATAAGATCTATTGAATAGATTCTGAACTTAAACGCCTCTGATTGGCCGTCGTGTTCATTGGTTCCAATCATGTTCTGTTGAATCTGTTGCAGGTCTCAGGTGTACATGCACCCGAACCTGTCTCAGCCCAGTCCCATGGTGCTCTCTGGCGGAGCGCCTCTCAAAGGCCCGTACTCCGCCTTCCCCGGCATGCAGCCGTCAGACATGGTGAAGCAGCCGTCAGGATCCCATTACCAGCCCATGAGCGGCAGCCAGCAGCTCGTGTACGACGGCAACATGAACCAGCCGGCGGGGATGAGCACCTCTCAGCTCATGGACTCGCAGCTCATACAGGCAAGAGCCCTGCAACACACACACACACTCACTCACTCACACTCACTCACACACTCACTCACTCACTCACTCACTCACTCACTCACACACACTCACTCACTCACTCACACTCACTCACTCACACACACTCACTCACACACTCTCACACACTCACTCTCACTCGCTCACTCACTCACTCACTCACACACACTCACTCACTCACTCACACTCACTCACACACACTCACTCACTCACTCACTCACTCACACACTCACTCACACACTCACTCACTCACTCACTCACTCACTCACTCACTCACTCACTCACTCACTTACACACACTCACTCACTCACTCACTCACTCACACTCACTCACACTCACTCACTCACACACACTCACTCACACACACTCACTCACACACACTCACTCACACACACTCACTCACACACACTCACTCACACACTCTCACTCACTCTCACTCACTCACTCACTCACTCACTCACTCACTCACTCACTCACTCACTCACTCACTCACTCACTCACTCACTCACTCACTCACTCACACACACGGGCCACTGAACCAGCCGGCTGGGATGAGCACGTCTAAGCTACTTTTGTCCTACTAGTGCAAAATAGATTTATTAAAGGAAATGGGGGTGAAATATTAAAATTCCAATAACAATACACACCTGTACCAAAATATATGCAGTTGGCTTTAACACAGGCAACATGATCAAAAAAACAAGAATGTGACCCTGGGCCCCAAAACCAGTCACAAGGGTCAATTTTTTAAAATTAAGATTTAAACATCACCTGGAAGCTGAATAAATAAGCTTTTCATGGATGTATGGTTTGTTGGGATAGGACCATATTTGGCCAAGATATGACTTTTGAACATCTGGAATCTGAGGGTGCAAAAAAATTTAAACATTGAGAAAATCTCCTTTAAAGTTGTGCATTTATATTCGCGATGTTGCTTCTTTCACTCACAAAAATATATATTTTATATATTTACGGTAGGAAATTTACTAAATCTCTTCATGAACATGATCTTTACGTGATATCCTAATGATTTTTGGCATAAAATAAAAATGTGGGGGAAAAAACTTGATCCAAGGTCACAAATGTCCATAAGGTTGCACAAGTGTTTAGGTCTAATGACTTTGCTGTGTGTGTGTGTGTTCAGGTGACGATGCCCATGCCCGGGTCTCAGCTGCGCTACGGCTCGGCCCAGCAGCACCTCATTCTGCCCCAGTCCATCCAGCTCCAGCAGAACCAGAACCTGTCCGTCGGAGCTCCCCGTCGCATGATGCCTCCCGGGTCTCAGCCGCCCATCATGAGCAGCAGAGAGGTGAGAGAGCAAGGGCTGCTGGGAAACATCAGGATTCTTCAGAATGCATGTACTAGCGCTGCACGGTTAATGGCTATTAACATGTAATCGCTCTTAAAGCGATTTGGCTCATCATGATTTTGAAATCGTGAACGCTGAGGTTATTAGTAATGTGCAGCTTGTCAGTGAAGCTCGGCTCAGTAAACGCGGCTCACTCTGAAAGCACTGAGTTCGAGTCGCTTATCACGTGCTTTTGAAAAAGCAACACGCGTCAAACACGAGAAGCATTTATGAACCTCTTGTCCAACAGAAGACGACATTTAATAACACGCTTTACTCCAAACTCTCTTCATCAGGACAGCTGAGCTCGTCCTCCGGTGAGATGATGCGCTTCTCACACAGAATACGGCAGTCGTGTGTTTAATACTCATGTTTAATCAGAGCGTTTCAGTCCTCTGTTTATTCAGATACAGAGTGTGTGTGAGACCAGCATTTACTACCAATCAGCCACTGCACAAACAGCACATAAAATAATCACAGTGCGGTTTCATTGCGATTAATTGTGCAGCCCTAACATGTACACATGTACTAGAATGTGTGAATCAGACTGCAATGTTCGGCTTGGATTCATTACAGTACATGAATTTACTGTCTGATTAATAAATCATGTTTGTTCTGCAGCCTTCCCAGATGGACATGAAAGGATTTCAGTTTTCTGACAAGCCCAATCACTCGCCTGGAATACCCAGCGGCTCCTACAGGTGAACACTTCCCACACTCCCCCTGAGGTCACGCACCGTCATTAGGCCTCGCACACTCACCTTTCAGTGCTTAATCCTGTTCTGTACACCCAGAGTTCAGTCCTTTACACCAAAATTGGCTCAAATCGTCTTCAGACCATGGTGGCTAAAAGCATTTTGATTAAAGTCCCACTGTATCAATCATTTTATCTCTTAAAACTCATCTTTGATCACCAAAATGACACATTTAAATATTTTTTTCCTTAAATGCTTTGAAATCACTTGAATGTAACTCGACACCCTCGCCTCATTTAGTATGCGCGGCTCTATGAATATGCAAATGAGCCCCGCCTCCACTCACTCACTCAGCTCAGAGATCCAATGGTTGACGATCACACGTTGATCTGATTGGTTACAAGGTCGTTTGTGACGTCAGAAACACCAGCGATTTCAACCCGTGTTTTTGAGACTGTCTTTGGTTCACTGCAGTTTTAAGCAGAAAATACGGACACTGATAATTTAGGTAAATGGACTGCATTTATATAGCGCTTTCACAGACCCAATGGCCACCAAAGCCCTTTACAATTTGCCTCACATTCACCCATTCACTCACTCATTCACACACCGACAGGGGTTTAGGGGTTTCACTCCCGTATTTAAATGCGGTTGTCACTTCTGAAACTTAAAAGTGTGTGCGTGGCCTAATACACACACCTTAAGGAGAACCGAAATAAATCAAATCCAAATTAAAACTACTGTAGTGAACATTTGAAGTGGATCAAAAAAGTTCATCAAAGTTGTCCTAAGACAAGAACGGGTATTCAAAATTCATGTACGACTTTGATGAAAGGTTTTGATCCACTTCAAATGTTGACTAGAGTATTTGAGAATGTTTACAGTTCTGTGTGTTTGAGTCTGTCATGCATGTAGTGGCGCATTTCCTCTGTGGACTACGACTCGGTTTGCTTTTCCACAGCAGATCATAGACTTTTTCACACATGAATTATGTTGAATATCTGTCAGCTGTTAAATTTAACTACACAATTAGATAATACCAGTTTAGCTCAACCAGTGACCAAGCAATGCTTCATGTTGTTCAGTGTGTGTGTAAAAAGAGCATTAGCAATTACAGAAAACACACTTCAGCAGAACATGATCAGCTCAAAGTGGAGGAATCATTTCTGCTCCTGAATGATTATAAATGTTACTGGTAGTCACTGTATGAAGAATATTTGGGTATAATATGTCTCAGTTTACTTTATTTTGCTCTCCTCACTTACAGAAATGACCTATAGATCTGGTGTCTGAATAATTTTTGGTTTGACTGTAAATATCTTTTCTCACTGAGTTCTGTGTGTCCCATCAGGCCCGGTTCGGCCAGTCCCAGTGGGAAAGCCTCGGGCCCCGGAGCCCCTGCGTCGGTCGTGTCTCTGCCAGGACATTACACACAGCAGGTATTCAGCGCACCGCCGCCAGCGCAGCGTTGCTTTAGTAAAGCTGATGGTTCATGTGGCCGACCGGTGTGTGTTCTGCGGCAGGTGTCGGGCCCTCAGGGCAACATGGTCATGCACATGAGACCCCCCTCGAGCGGGCCCTTCCCCAACCCCATCCAGCGGCCCGTCATGCAGATCAACAAGACCGTGATCATCCGCTCCCCGCCGTACCCCGGCCAGCGCGAGCCCAACCCTGAGCATGCTGGGAAGGGCCCTGAGGACGGGATGAAGGTGAGCCACCCACTGTGATCATCAGAGGTAATTACATTTAATGCTCTTCTCCTTTCTTGTGTTCAGGCTGTGTTAGCGCTGCGCGGCTGATCGCAGTGAAACCGCACGCGATTTGGCAAAATTATTTTATGTGCAGTTTGTCAGTGAAGTACGGCTGATCGGTAGTGAATGCTCCATCTGAACACCAGAGGGTGTCACATACACACACACACACACACACACACACACACACACACACACAGGACATATCCATCTGAACACCAGAGGGCGTCACACACACCACATATCCATCTAAACACCAGAGGGCGTCTTACACACACACACACACCACATATCCATCTGAACACCAGAGGGCGTCACACACACACACACACACACACACACACACACACACACACACACACACCACATATCCCTCTGAACACTAGAGGGCGTCACACACGACATATCCATCTGAACACCAGAGGGCGTCACACACACACACACACACCACATATCCCTCTGAACACTAGAGGGTGTCACATACACACACACAGGACATATCCATCTGAACACCAGAGGGCGTCACACACACACACACGACATATCCATCTGAACACCAGAGGGCGTCACACACACACACACACACACACACCACATATCCCTCTGAACACGAGAGGGCGTCACACACGACATATCCATCTGAACACCAGAGGGCGTCACACACACACACACACACACACCACATATCCCTCTGAACACTAGAGGGCGTCACACACGACATATCCCTCTGAACACTAGAGGGTGTCACACACACACACACACCACATATCCTTCTGAACACCAGAGGGCGTCACACACACCACATATCCATCTGAACACCAGAGGGTGTCACACACACACACACACCACATATCCATCTGAACACTAGAGGGCGTCACACACACACACACACCACATATCCATCTGAACACCAGAGGGCGTCACACACACACCACATATCCATCTGAACACCAGAGGGCGTCACACACACACCACATATCCATCTGAACACTAGAGGGTGTCACACACACACACACACCACATATCCTTCTGAACACCAGAGGGCGTCACACACACCACATATCCAACTGAACACCAGAGGGCGTCACACACACACACACACCACATATCCATCTGAACACCAGAGGGCGTCACACACACACGACATATCCATCTGAACACCAGAGGGCGTCACACACACACACACCACATATCCATCTAAACACCAGAGGGCGTCACACACACACACACCACATATCCATCTGAACACCAGAGGGCGTCACACACACACACGACATATCCATCTGAACACCAGAGGGCGTCACACGACATATCCATCTGAACACCAGAGGGCGTCACACACACACACCACATATCCATCTGAACACCAGAGGGCGTCACACACACACACGACATATCCATCTGAACACCAGAGGGCGTCACACACACAGACACACACACACACCACATATCCATCTGAACACCAGAGGGCGTCACACACACACACCACATATCCATCTGAACACCAGAGGGCGTCACGCACACACACGACATATCCATCTGAACACCAGAGGGCGTCACACACACACGACATATCCATCTGAACACCAGAGGGCGTCACACACACACACACCACATATCCATCTAAACACCAGAGGGCGTCACACACACGCACACACCACATATCCATCTGAACACCAGAGGGCGTCACACACACACACCACATATCCATCTGAACACCAGAGGGCGTCACACACACACACACCACATATCCATCTGAACACCAGAGGGCGTCACACACACACGACATATCCATCTGAACACCAGAGGGTGTCACACACACACCACATATCCATGTAAACACCAGAGGGCGTCACACACACACACACCACATATCCATCTGAACACCAGAGGGCGTCACACACACACACGACATATCCATCTGAACACCAGAGGGCGTCACACACACACGACATATCCATCTGAACACCAGAGGGCGTCACACACACACACGACATATCCATCTGAACACCAGAGGGCGTCACACACACACACGACATATCCATCTGAACACTAGAGGGTGTCACACACACACACACACACCACATATCCCTCTGAACACCAGAGGGCGTCACACACACACACGACATATCCATCTGAACACTAGAGGGCGTCACACACACACACACACGACATATCCATCTGAACACTAGAGGGCGTCACACACACACACACACGACATATCCATCTGAACACTAGAGGGCGTCACACACACAGACAAACGACATATCCATCTGAACACTAGAGGGCGTCACACACACACACACGACATATCCATCTGAACACTAGAGGGCGTCACACACACACGACATATCCATCTGAACACTAGAGGGCGTCACACACACACACACACGACATATCCATCTGAACACTAGAGGGCGTCACACACACACACACACGACATATCCATCTGAACACCAGAGGGCGTCACACACACACACACACACCACATATCCCTCTGAACACCAGAGGGCGTCACACACACACACGACATATCCATCTGAACACTAGAGGGCGTCACACACACACGACATATCCATCTGAACACCAGAGGGCGTCACACACACACGACATATCCATCTGAACACTAGAGGGCGTCACACACATACGACATATCCATCTGAACACTAGAGGGCGTCACACACACACGACATATCCATCTGAACACCAGAGGGTGTCACACACACACCACATATCCATGTAAACACCAGAGGGCGTCACACACACACCACATATCCATCTGAACACCAGAGGGCGTCACACACACACGACATATCCATCTGAACACTAGAGGGCGTCACACACATACGACATATCCATCTGAACACTAGAGGGCGTCACACACACACGACATATCCATCTGAACACCAGAGGGCGTCACACACACACCACATATCCATCTGAACACCAGAGGGCGTCACACACACACGACATATCCATCTGAACACCAGAGGGTGTCACACACACACCACATATCCATGTAAACACCAGAGGGCGTCACACACACACACACCACATATCCATCTGAACACCAGAGGGCGTCACACACACACACGACATATCCATCTGAACACCAGAGGGCGTCACACACACATGACATATCCATCTGAACACCAGAGGGCGTCACACACACACACCACATATCCATCTGAACACCAGAGGGCGTCACACACACACACGACATATCCATCTGAACACCAGAGGGCGTCACACACACACACGACATATCCATCTGAACACTAGAGGGTGTCACACACACACACACACCACATATCCCTCTGAACACCAGAGGGCGTCACACACACACACGACATATCCATCTGAACACTAGAGGGCGTCACACACACACACACACGACATATCCATCTGAACACTAGAGGGCGTCACACACACACACACACGACATATCCATCTGAACACTAGAGGGCGTCACACACACACACACGACATATCCATCTGAACACTAGAGGGCGTCACACACACACACACGACATATCCATCTGAACACTAGAGGGCGTCACACACACACGACATATCCATCTGAACACTAGAGGGCGTGACACACACATACACACGACATATCCATCTGAACACTAGAGGGCGTGACACACACATACACACGACATATCCATCTGAACACTAGAGGGCGTCACACACACACACACACGACATATCCATCTGAACACTAGAGGGCGTCACACACACACGACATATCCATCTGAACACCAGAGGGCGTCACACACACACGACATATCCATCTGAACACTAGAGGGCGTCACACACACACACACACCACATATCCCTCTGAACACCAGAGGGCGTCACACACACACACGACATATCCATCTGAACACTAGAGGGCGTCACACACACACGACATATCCATCTGAACACTAGAGGGCGTCACACACACACGACATATCCATCTGAACACTAGAGGGCGTCACACACACACACACACGACATATCCATCTGAACACTAGAGGGCGTCACACACACACACACACACGACATATCCATCTGAACACCAGAGGGCGTCACACACACACACACACCACATATCCATCTAAACACCAGAGGGCGTCACACACACACACACACCACATATCCATCTGAACACCAGAGGGCGTCACACACACACGACATATCCCTCTGAACACCAGAGGGCGTCACACACACACACGACTAGGGATGGGAATTGATAAGATTTTATCAATATCAATGCCACTAACGATTCTGCTTATCGATCCGATTCTTTAACGATTCCCTTATCGATTCCTGATAGCACTGTGTGGTAAAAAGTAGTCTTTTTCGGGGGAAAAAACAAGTTGTTTTATTTGTTTTAAAGCTTACACTTGACTAAGCAAACTGTACTTTTTATGTAATTTATGTAATAAATGGAACCTTATTGTAAAGTGTTACCGATTAGTTATACACCGATTAAACGTCCCGTGAGTTCAGTGTTGGAAAGATCAGTTGTTTTAACCATGAATTAAAACGAATCGGTTCAAATGAGTCATTAGTTCGCGAATTGGACGTGTCATTATCAGACGTGTGCGCGTTGTGTGATTATCCCGGCAGTTGGGACATCTCACAAGATGTGTGTCATCACAGAAAACATTTCATCACTGGATCATTTTTTTTAAGTGTGATTATGTCAGCTGAATGTGCGGAACACTTTTCAGAGAAGATAAGGCAACGTATTTTAGCACAATTCACACCCAGCGGCAATTCAGGAAAAACAAATCTCCGAATGCTCCACATGAAACTTTAGTCTCCCTACCTTACCATCGTGTCGTTTATTTTGATTAATATGTGCGAGGGAGAGAGGAAGACAGCGCTTAGTTTTGAGACTGTGAAGCCTACTTCTGCCTTGCTCCGAAGAGAGAGAGTGCGTGCGCGCGACCGGGGCTCTCTCTCTCTCTCTCTCTGCTCGATCAGTTTAACATGCGCCCTGTCACAAGCGCAGCGGTTCATCTACATTACCAGAGAGAGACAATTTTACTCACTGATCAAATAAGACTTTGCAGGACAAAGATTAGCTTTGGACGCGGTGCTATGGTGCTTGAAAAAGGACAAAAGGGACAGTTGTGAGTTCACGGTCTGTAGCCTACATACTATGGCTGACTCAGAGCAGGAGCATCGATAAGAGGACTCGTTAACGTCGAGGGCATACAATATCGATGGATCGTAAAATTTAGAACCGGTTCTCGAGTGGAACCGGTTTTCGATTCCCATCCCTACACACGACATATCCATATGAACACAACAGGACATCTCACACATGCACAAAGAAGTAGAGCACAACATTCCAGGAAACCCCTATCGGCTTCACACACTCTGTATCTGAATAAACAGAGGACTGAAACGCTCTGATTAAACATGAGTATTAAACACACGACTGCCGTATTCTGTGTGAGAAGCGCATCATCTCACCGGAGGACGAGCTCAGCTGTCCTGATGAAGAGAGTTTGGAGTAAAGCGTGTTATTAAATGTCGTCTTCTGTTGGACAAGAGGTTCATAAATGCTTCTCGTGTTTGACGCGTGTTGCTTTTTCAAAAGCACGTGATAAGCGACTCGAACTCAGTGCTTTCAGAGTGAGCCGCGTTTACTGAGCCGAGCTTCACTGACAAGCTGCACATTACTAATAACCTCAGCGTTCACGATTTCAAAATCATGATGAGCCAAATCGCTTTAAGAGCGATTACATGTTAATAGCCATTAACCGTGCAGCGCTAGTGTGTGTCGTGTTCCAGGTCTCATGATGGAGGCCTGATGTTGCTCCGACTCTCAAGTGGAGCTGGATGAGCTCGATTAGGGCTGGGCGATTAATACCGACATTAATTGGGAAAAATGGCATCGCTTTTCAAAAAGAAGGGTTTAATATTCAACAATATTATTGATCTCCTGCATTGACAGCATTATATGAGAACTGAACTGAGCTGGACGATGACATCACGGTTTACTCCAGAGCCGCTATATATATAAATGAACTAAATAATAACTTTTTTACAACAAAAATGAGCCGTCACTGAACTGACTTAAGCTGGACTGAGACGCTATTCTCTTCTAGAAACACTGTTGCATTATTCTCCTGTTATCTCTGTAAAGCTGTATAAATAAAGGAGACTTGACTAGTTTGTTACTTCATGCAAACAACTAATGTTAGAAAATATTTTTCTCATTATTAAATAAAAATACAACTGGTCATTGTTAGTTCATCGGCTCCAATAAATATTCAGAAACACTAAAATTCAAGATATGGGGGGAAAAAAATGCTTTGTTTTTGTCCTGTTTATATTTAGCAATATGTTTTCTCCGTATATCAGCACGATTGCTAATGGGATATTGATGTTATACAGCAGTTCAATAAACAATTTGTTAAATTTTAGACAAAATTGTCTGTTTTTGCTCAATTTGGCCAATGACATAGTTCCACACTTTCATTACTGAGTCATTGAATCAATGTGCTTGAGTGAATCGGTTGAATGAATGATTCAGTGACTCGTTCAAAGACAGAGCTGGAATATGAATGAAAAATTACATACTTTAAATATGAAACTAAAACCACCAGTAGGTGGCAGCAATACACTGAGATGCTTTAAATAACCTGTGTAAATAAACCTAAATGCCACATCTGATGCAGCTTCAGAAAAGAAATATGTTATGGCCACATTGTAGCCTTAAACGTTTGTGTAATACATTTTTTAATCAATTTTTTTCTTTCTGAACCTGCTTTTTATAATGACTATTCAATGCTTTTCTCATCTTTTGGGCGTAATTTCTCAGCCAAAAGTGCTTTGAGATTAATTATTTGGAACATCATGTATTAAATTAGATTAAAAATGTGAACCGCTTGAAAGTTTTTATAGTTAACTGTTAACAAATGGAAACTTATTGTAAAGTGTTGCCGAAAAAATCCAGTGTAAAAGTTCTATTCTGTTCAAAATCTTTCTTTTTTTTTTGTATTTGATTGTTTTACAATAAAATTGTGAGTTTTATGAACTCATGATGATAAATTTGTATTAAATCCTAAAACATAAAATTAAGAAAATTAAATCTGAAAACAAAGAAAAGGTGTTTTTCTCTCAGTGGGGTTTAGTTTTCCTCATCCGTTCTAACAAACGTGCATTTCCTTCCACTTTCTTGCGATAAAATGATAAATATTGCAATCGAAAATTATGGAAGAAATATGATATCGCTCAGCCCTAATCTTTATATTTTACTGTTGTTGTTCTTTATGATGTTCAGCATTTATTATTGAGGGATCTGAAATAACATGCGTCTGTAAATAAAAGCATATGGACGATTATGTAACTATTTGAACTATTATAATAAAATGAACATGTGACCCTGTTCTGCGGGATCAGAGACCCAGTGTAATGATGCGGTGAATAAACTCCAGACGCACATATGATGCTTGATTCATCATGAGGTTAATTGTGTTTGCCCCAGTCCTGCGTTCAGGCCGAGTGTGTGTTCATCAGTGCTTTGACTCGTTGATGTTGATGAAGTGACTGTAAGGTGTGTGTGTGTGTACAGGCCGCCAGTGACGCCAAGAACTCTTCAGTGATTCCCAGAAGGCCACAGGTCAACGCTGCTCGAACCAGAGCCATCAAACCACAGCCGGTCCCAGTGGAGGAAGGCAAAGCCTGATTAATGGACCTCACGATCACATGACACGGCTCTCTCTCTCTCTCCATCTCTCTCTCTCTCTCACCGGACTGACGCACAGGATCACCAACCCCACTAATCAATTGGAATACATTAATAAACATCACATAGAGAGATATGAATATCTATATATAAATGTATACTATATATATATAAATAGACACAATAGGTTTGGACTCTTCTCCGCAGACTTTTCAAGATCAGCTTTATTTATTTACATTTTGTTTGTCATTTTTTTCAAGTGAAGAATAACGGTTTAAAAAAAAGGCAAATGAACCGCCGGTTCTCTCTCTCTCTCTCTCTGTCTCTATCTATCTCTCGAAGTTTGCAATCAGAAAAACGAGAAGTGCATCTCTTCTCCCAGCTCATGCCCCGCCCACATTGCCAAACCGAGCCAGCTGATTGGACTCCAGGTTTTGATTGACATGAGCAGCTGCAGTGCGAGGCTTTAGTCATTTTTACTGGGTACCATGGAGTTTTAACTTCCTTTAATTTATATATATATATATATATATATATATATTAGTAATCATGCATATTTGCTCTATTATTATTATTAAAGAACACCTTTTATTCAATAAAAAAAGTTTAAACCCAAATTTGAGGACATTGTTCAATCCACACATGGAGCATCTGTGCTGAACTCTTATTCTCCTCTGCTTTCATGTGTTGTGTAAATGCAGAGCAGCATTGTTCCTCAGCGGTGTTGCTGATGTGTGTGTGTGTGTGTGGAGAAGCGCTCGCTCTGATGTTCTCGTGTGGAACGCCTCATCTTCTGCTTTGAGTTCCGGTGTTTGGCTCTGTCAGTCACAGCAGTGACACAAGCAATAAACAACCTTTCTGTAACAATCAGGGTCCAAAAGATTTCCTTTATTGTAGATGTTGCTGTCTCACAGGGATCATGATTGAACATATGAAGTCTTGTTTCAGATCTCCGTCACACTACGGCTGTACAGAACTATGACATCATCAGCACATGTTCATGCATTCATTCATCTTTGATATTGGAGCATTAATGCGACTCGTCCTTTTCCCTCTGGGGCAATTGTTGCACATTTGAAATGCCTTTTTAAATGATTTCTCCAGTGCTTCTGGTTATTTTAGAGGGTCATTTGCTTCTTGATGATTGCTGAATATCTGTACAGACTCATTATTGCCCTTTGGCTTTTGGTAGACTTGTATTTAAAGGGCCAGTGATGGATTTACTCACTTTTATGTTTATTTTTAGGGGTCTGTTTTGTTTTTTTCCCTGCAGATATTTATCACTCAGTGTTGTTTATCCTATTAAATGTGTGACCATATTTGCCCTTTTATTGGAAAATGATCTCAACAAGAGAGAAATAAAGCAGATTGTGCTTTTTTCAAAGACGGATCGTTGTTTGTGTTCCCATTGAGCGTGTGCAGTTACTGAACTGAAACCCCAGCTTCTCACCGAATGAATGGCTTTCATCATTTATATGAACCAATACAACTATAGTAAACATTGCTGTTGTTCTATGAACATAGTAATGGTGATGTAAACAAATTCAATTTCATTGAAAGTGTTTTACCTGATTAACAGAAATGAATCAAACTTCCCAACTCTAGTTCTGATTAATCAAGCAGATTCGTGAAGTAATAGAGCAAAAGGAAGGAAACAAGCTTCACTTATTTCATTACTGGATGATTCAACGTTTCTCTTGAATGAAGGATTCAATAACTCAAATCTTTATGAGTGAGTCATTGAATCATTTAAGAGATTTGTCCAAAAACACTGATTCATCCAGTAGAAAAACAAGTGAAGACTGTTTCATTATTGGATGAATTTGGGTTTTTTTAACGAATGTCATTGAATGATTCAATGACTCCCTCATAAAGATTTGTTTCATTACTGGATGAATCTGCGTTTTTAAACTAATATCTTGAATGATTCAATGACTCCCTCATAAAGATTTGTTTCATTACTGGATGAATCTGCGTTTTTTAACGAATGTCATTGAATGATTCAATGAATCCCTCATAAAGATTTGTTTCGTTACTGGATGAATCTACGTTTTTAAACTAATATCTTGAATGATTCAATGACTCACTCATAAAGATTTGTTTCGTTACTGGATGAACCTGCGTTTTTTAACGAATGCCATTGAATGATTCAATGAATCCCTCATATAGATTTGTTTCATTACTGGATGAATCTGCGTTTTTAAACTAATATCTTGAATGATTCAATGACTCCCTCATAAAGATTTGTTTCATTACTGGATGAATCTGCGTTTTTTAACGAATGTCATTGAATGATTCAATGAATCCCTCATAAAGATTTGTTTCGTTACTGGATGAATCTACGTTTTTAAACTAATATCTTGAATGATTCAATGACTCACTCATAAAGATTTGTTTCATTACTGGATGAATCTGCGTTTTTTAACGAATGCCATTGAATGATTCAATGACTCCCTCATAAAGATTTGTTTCATTACTGGATGAATCTGCGTTTTTTAACGAATGTCATTGAATGATTCAATGACTCCCTCATAAAGATTTGTTTCGTTACTGGATGAATCTGCGTTTTTTTTAACGAATGTCATTGAATGATTCAATGACTCCTCCATAAAGATTTGTTTCATTACTGGATCAATCTGCGTTTTTTTAACGAATATCTTGAATGATTCCATGAGTCCCTCGTAAAGATTTGTTTCATTACTGGATGAATCTGCGTTTTTTAACTAATATCTTGAATGATTCAATGACTCATAAAGATTTGTTTCAATACTGGATGAATCTGCGTTTTTTAACTAATATCTTGAATGATTCAATGACTCATAAAGATTTGTTTCATTACTGGATGAATCTGCGTTTTTTTTTAACGAATATCTTGAATGATTCCATGAGTCCCTCGTAAAGATTTGTTTCATTACTGGATGAATCTGCGTTTTTTAACTAATATCTTGAATGATTCAATGAATCCCTCATAAAGATTCGTTTCGTTACTGGATGTATCTGCGTTTTTTAACGAATGTCATTGAATGAATCAATGAATCCCTCATAAAGATTTGTTTCGTTACTGGATGAATCTGCGTTTTTAAACTAATATCTTGAATGATTCAATGACTCCCTCATAAAGATTTGTTTCATTACTGGATGAATCTGCGTTTTTTAACGAATGCCATTGAATGATTCAATGAATCCCTCATAAAGATTTGTTTCATTACTGGATGAATCTGCGTTTTTAAACTAATATCTTGAATGATTCAATGACTCCCTCATAAAGATTTGTTTCATTACTGGATGAATCTGCGTTTTTTAACGAATGCCATTGAATGATTCAATGACTCCTCCATAAAGATTTGTTTCATTACTGGATGAATCTGCGTTTTTTAACGAATGCCATTGAATGATTCAATGAATCCCTCATAAAGATTTGTTTCATTACTGGATGAATCTGCGTTTTTTAACGAATGCCATTGAATGATTCAATGAATCCCTCATAAAGATTTGTTTCATTACTGGATGAATCTGCGTTTTTAAACTAATATCTTGAATGATTCAATGACTCCCTCATAAAGATTTGTTTCATTACTGGATGAATCTGCGTTTTTTAACGAATGCCATTGAATGATTCAATGAATCCCTCATAAAGATTTGTTTCGTTACTGGATGAATCTGCATTTTTTAACGAATGTCATTGAATGATTCCATGAGTCCCTCGTAAAGATTTGTTTCGTTACTGGATGAATCTGCGTTTTTTAACGAATATCTTGAATGATTCAATGACTCCCTCATAAAGATTTGTTTCCTTACTGGATGAATCTGCGTTTTTTTTAACGAATGTCATTGAATGATTCAATGACTCCTCCATAAATATTTGTTTCATTACTGGATGAATCTGCGTTTTTTAACGAATATCTTGAATGATTCAATGACTCCCTCATAAAGATTTGTTTCATTACTGGATGAATCTGCGTTTTTTAACGAATATCTTGAATGATTCAATGACTCCCTCATAAAGATTTGTTTCATTACTGGATGAATCTGTGTTTTTTAACGAATGTCATTGAACGATTCAATGACTCCTCCATAAAGATTTGTTTCGTTACTGGATGAATCTGCGTTTTTTAACGAATATCTTGAATGATTCAATGACTCCCTCATAAAGATGTTTCATTACTGGATGAATCTACGTTTTTTAACGAATGTCATTGAATGAGTCAATGAATCCCTCATAAAGATTTGTTTCGTTACTGGATGAATCTGCATTTTTTAACGAATGTCATTGAATGAGTCAATGAATCCCTCATAAAGATTTGTTTCGTTACTGGATGAATCTGCGTTTTTAAACTAATATCTTGAATGATTCCATGAGTCCCTCGTAAAGATTTGTTTCGTTACTGGATGAATCTGCGTTTTTTAACGAGTATCTTGAATGATTCAATGACTCCCTCATAAAGATTTGTTTTGTTACTGGATGAATCTGCGTTTTTTAACGAATATCTTGAATGATTCAATGAATCCCTCATAAAGATTTGTTTCATTACTGGATGAATCTGTGTTTTTTAACGAATGTCATTGAATGATTCAATGACTCCCTCATAAAGATTTGTTTCGTTACTGGATGAATCTGCGTTTTTTAACGAATATCTTGAATGATTCAATGACTCCTCCATAAAGATTTGTTTCGTTACTGGATGAATCTGTGTTTTTTAACGAATGTCATTAAATGATTCAATGACTCCCTCATAAAGATTTGTTTCGTTACTGGATGAATCTGCGTTTTTTAACGAGTATCTTGAATTATTCAATGACTCCCTCATAAAGATTTGTTTCATTACTGGATGAATCTGCGTTTTTTTAACGAATGTCATTGAATGATTCAATGACTCCTCCATAAAGATTTGTTTCGTTACTGGATGAATCTGCGTTTTTTAACAAATGTCATTAAATGATTCAATGAATCCCTCATAAAGATTTGTTTCATTACTGGATGAATCTGCTTTTTTTAACAAATGTCATTAAATGATTCAATGACTCACTCATAAAGATTTGTTTCGTTACTGGATGAATCTGCGTTTTTTAACGAATATCTTGAATGATTCAATGACTCCCTCATAAAGATTTGTTTCGTTACTGGATGAATCTGTGTTTTTTAACGAATGTCATTGAATGATTCAATGACTCCCTCATAAAGATTTGTTTCATTACTGGATGAATCTGCGTTTTTTTAACGAATATCATTGAATGATTCAATGACTCCTCCATAAAGATTTGTTTCGTTACTGGATGAATCTGTGTTTTTTAACGAATGTCATTGAATGATTCAATGACTCCCTCATAAAGATTTGTTTCATTACTGGATGAATCTGCGTTTTTTTAACGAATATCATTGAATGATTCAATGACTCCTCCATAAAGATTTGTTTCGTTACTGGATGAATCTGCGTTTTTTAACGAGTATCTTGAATGATTCAATGACTCCCTCATAAAGATTTGTTTCGTTACTGGATGAATCTGCGTTTTTTAACAAATGTCATTAAATGATTCAATGAATCCCTCATAAAGATTTGTTTCATTACTGGATGAATCTGCGTTTTTTAATTAATATCTTAAATGATTCAATGACTCC